CCATCAATCGCACCGGAGCCTCAGGAACAAACTGGCTCCAGCTAGAGGATTAATGGCATTTTAAAGCCCCTCACTGGAGCCATTGCTGGTGACGGGCCAGGCGTGTGACGGAGGGTGATGAGGGAAGGATGAGGGAAGGATGCCCGTGCTGGGAAATCAGCACTGCTGACTCATTGCGCGAGGGATGGAGTGCCATCCGTCCGTCTGTCCGTGCCGGGAGCTAGCAGACCCATCACTTCGGTTTCTCCTTGCTGCCCCAGGAGCAGTGCAGAACTACGAGAAAGCCCCAGGTCACAGTCGAGGGGATAAACACGACCCCAGCAGTGTGTAGCATGGGATTACAAAGACTAAATCCCACCGGGTAAACCCCGGGGCTTCGACCATCATCCAGCCTCAGCACCGAGCAGTGCGACGATACGTCCTGCACCTCCCGGCACCGAGCGGCCGGACGATACTTCCTGCACCTCTCGACCACAGCACCCTGACTCTGTGGGGACCATCCATGGGGAATTGGTGTCCTGCCCCCTCATCACGTGGTCACGATGTGTATTTCCACCCAGGATCGCTCGGGGAGGAGCATCGTGCAGCCGAGCAAGCAGGAATCCAACATCTCAGCACCCTGGTCTTGTGGGAGGGTGGCCAGCTCCAAGGGTTCAATGCTGAGCCACCAGATCTCTCCACCCTTCCCCAAAATCTTGCAACACTTTAAAGGTCTCACCCAGTGGGTGTTTTCCCACCTCCAGGGAGCTCGGGGTCTCTTAGCGGGTCTTCCCACCCCAAAAAGCCGAGCTCTTGGCTCCCCAGGCAGCCGCAAGAGGCAGCGAAGGCGCAGCAAAGCGGGGCCTGGAAGGAAGAACTCGCTCGCGTGACCGTCGGTGTGACCGCCGGCGCTGGCAGGGCAGGGAGAAGCGCCATCCCACGCAGGACCCCACGCCAGGAACACATCTGGATGCACCTGGAGCCCTGCACGTCGCACCCCCGGGCGGCACCTACAGCCAGGAGAGCAGTGGGGGAGCTGAGCCAGGCGGGAGGGAGATGGCAGGCGTGCCAGGACCCCGGGGGGCTGCTGAGA